ATTCTGAGTGCAGTGAGAAGCCATTGCAGGGTTTGAATATGTGTAGAATGTGATTCAATTGAGGCTTTAAAATGATTACTCTTGCTACACAGAATAAATGGTAGGGGCAGGAGTTGGAAGCAGGAAATTGTTATTATTTTTTATTAACCTTACAGTACTTCCATGCAGTAGGAGCATAATAAATCATTTTAAAGGATTTCATGTGAAAGATCGAGGCAATAATACTCAAATATTGAAGAGTGGACTATGCTTATGGGACTGTAAGAACCAAAAGCTTGGTGTATAAGCTTCAGGTCTGCTCACTGACTGTGGGGTGGGACAGACGTTTCAGTCCTTAGCCGTGGCCAATCTGTGCCTGGGCATCTTCACCTGGCGTGATAATCAGCCTCTCCCAGAAGACGATTTGAAAGACGAGATAACGTGTGCAAAATGCTTATCCTCGTGCTGGGCTCCCAACACATCGCAGCCTCTGTTCCTGCCCTTTGTCTTCCCCGCCCGGGGCCCCCATGCGCAAGCATTCAAGTAAGTAGCTAAGCCAAAATGTTAATCGGCGCAGGTGTTTGGTCTAGGTAGCTGGACCACTTACCACTTCCATGAGTAGACGTCCCTTTACCATTTGCATCTCCTTTCTGAAACATTAGAAAGGGGACTAGGCGGGGCTTGGCACGTGGTAATGAGTAACTTGATGTGTCATCAGTATGACAAACACGTGTGTATGTGTCATCAGTGTGTCAGATGAATAGGTATGTAGTCAACTGTATTCATTTGATGTATAACCCAAGTAGCCTAACAGGATGACATAAGATTCTCCCTTTCAGGCAGATCTTACAGGATAATGGAATTAAGAGGGTCACCTAACCTAATGCCTTCATTTTAAGATGAAAAAACGTGAAAGCCAAATGGTCGAAGATGACACGCCTAGTTATTTGCAGAGTTGGGCATAGAATCCATTTTGGCTGATCCCAGATTCAGTCCTCTTTCCCCACTGAACAGCTCTCTTGTCCCTCACTAAGCTTGACCTTAGGGTGGCTCTAACGTGTCCTGGTTAAGGGAAGTGACAGATCTCAGTTATCACCCAGCCCTGCCCCTCGCTAGAGGGGTTACATCAGCAAATTCCCACTAAGTCTCGATTTCATACCCTGATAATATGTTGAAAGTACCCATGTTAATACCCGGAGGATTAAGTGATGTAATGTAAGTATGCTTATATAATGTAACTCCTTTAAAAATTATTTTCTTAATGTTCATTGCAAAAGAATTATAATATGCACATTAGCAAAAAGAAAAAAATGAAAAGCACCCATAACACCATTATCTAGAGATAACCTCAGATTTATGCATTTTTCCCATTTAGTTTTGATTGCACTTAACATCTGAAAAATAGAGCATGAAATCCTATATGTCAGTGACATTAATCATGAAAGAAGCCATAACAGAGACTAATCATTATTCTTGTGAAGAACAGAACATTACTACAAAGAGTTTTGCCATATTATACTTAACTACATACACATATTCGTTGAATCTCGTACTAGTTTTTGCAATGATTTTATTGTTTTCTCTTTCCTCCTTTAAACTCCAACTTGAACTATGTATGTATCTACCAGTAATTTTTCTTTAAATGTAATTGTCCATCCTATGGACCTTGAAAATAAGAGTGACTTAGTTAGACTTTCAGGGACTCAGAGAATGCTTGAATTCACAATGCTCTTGATTAAGGTGCAAAACCTTTTTAGTTCAAAGAAATTTCAGTCACTAGGAGGAGGAATGTCAAAAACCAAATTGTTTTGTATCTCCTTGTTCAAGAAAATTGATTTATAGGGCCCTTTCCGTGGAATATGCATTGATGTTCCGAAGTTCTAGCCTGGCTGATCTTTGTCTGTTTTTGCTGCCTCTTCATTTTGTGGCATGACATTAGTACATTGAAAAGATTAGCTCATGTTGAAGGAGTTTTGCCTTCAAATTGAAGGTTATTAGAGTAATGGTTCTGCTCTTCGATCGATTGTTGTGTGCTTGTTGCCATGAGCTCAGATGGTTTTCAGTTTTTAGACTGACTGTGGTGAGTTATAGGCTACTCTAAAGAATGTCTAATTCCTTCCCTGGAAGAGGGCTTGAAGAAGGGCTTGTGCAGGCCCTAAGAGTTGGGCAAAGGTGGGGTAGACCGTGCGAGGGTCCAGTGGGTCCTTGCACCAATGGCAAATAGAGAATCCCATCCTAGGGTGAGAGCACCAGGGACCACAGTTGGAAAAGTGTGGCCAAGGCAGTGGATGAAGGAAGATGGCCACAGACAGGTGCAGGACACTAGGGTTCTAAGAGCCAGGAGGAAAAGAGCTATTTAGAATGATTCAAAATAGAGCTGCTTCCAGATCAGAGAGGTGGTGGGCTCATGCTGGGGTCTAGCTTTATTGGGAGGGTGCTGAACTGGTGGGTTAAGCTTGTTAAAGTACCCTGGACAGATCAAACAGAAAACAAATTTAGGGATTAGGAGGTTGAGTTATTAGCCCTGAGCAAGATTTCCCCTGAATGTTATTAATTGTGCTCTTATTTAGGAAAATGTTGCTCATTTGAGGGCTGTTTGTTTCAGTGCTTGGAGTCATTGCCAGTGCTGGCTGGCTTCCAACCCTGGTAATCCTCAGAGGGTTTTAGAAAGAAAGAAATGCTTTGTTTTGTTTTCCCCCTCTCCCCACGGGGTAATTGGTTTATGTATAATTTAATTATTTTGCTAACCAGTTATCCTATCACTACACACAAAAACAACCTTAAAATTCCACCTCCTATTCTGTGTTAAGATGTTCATAATTGATTTTTCCACCATTCTGTGTGCATGTTTAAGGTGAAATTTCTCAGTGGAAGCTAGATTGGACTGACTGTGTTTTCCATACTTGCAGGGTTGCCCTCAGAGCCTTGCAGAGCAGTAGCCAGTGCCTTAGAGTAAGAAGATCTAAGATAAATGATCAGTTTCAAAAAGGAATTACATTCTTGAGGATTCTGTAGGGAAGTCATATTTTAGAAAATCACCTAGGACTATGTTTTCATCGGAGTGAATCTTGGAAGATTCTTCTTGTGGCGGAGAAGTGAGGAGGGAACGAACTCTCCTTTGTCACTATGTGGTCTCACTAATGTCTCCCCTTTTAGTTGACTTCCTTCTTTAGTCTTGTTTCATCTTTCCCCATCATGCCATTCACGGGGAAATTTTTTATCTTGACAAGTGACTGTGTAAATTTGGTTATTTATGTGGTGCGAGGTTTATTACGATTCTGTGCCCTGCCTGCCCATCCTCATCCTTTCTGGGGGGATGGGCTGGGGTTAAAGGTCTCAGAATTAAGCCTGCAGTCCATTTGAAGCTCTCATGTTATGAATACACTTTATAAGGATGTTTTGTTGATCCCATTTACAAAAATTTAATTGGAGCTAAATAATTCAATCCAGCCTAAGAATACGAGGTACCAGATGGGTTTGCTGTTGCTGAGGTCAGCAGAAGCTTCATCCACTCGCAGGCTTTTCTTCTGCTGTTTCCCCTCATTTTTCTCATTTGTGGAACTCCAGATATTGCCTTTCATGGTCATGTTGCTGTAAGGTCCTCATAATTAGGCCGTGGGCCACCACGGCAAGTTGGCGTTTTCTTTTTTTAATGAGCAAAAGTCATTTCAACTTTCCTTATGGGGAGTCCTTTTGAGTCTCAGAAGCCATTCACAAATATGGTGAAGTCTAATTTTACTCCACAAGAAGAGAGACTATTACACGTTTTCTATTCAAGGATTCTCCAAGCTTTGCTGCCCTCTGCTTATTGCTTTGGGATCCTGTGCAGTGGCAGATGGCTTTATGCAAATCAGGCCAATTATTTTTGGTCATAGGAAAAATCACCTTGCATTATGAGGAAGGTCTAGATTAGTGACGCAGACGTGTTGCTTTGAAAACTCGACCCAGAGTAGAGGGCAGCTCGTCTTGTGTGACTCTGCTGATCCGTGAGTCTGTGGTCCCACACACAGCCCTGACGTCTGTGTCCCTCCAAGGATGCCCCTCACCCTCCTGCTCTGTTAAATTTTATAGCTCCACCTGGCCATAGAAAAATTATTTTCAGTGCCTGTTTATTAGCCATCTTTAATAATCTCATTATATATTAGCAAATGGGTAATAATCCCGTTTTTCAAATTGTATACCTAGTTTTGACAGAGACCAGACATCAATATTACTTAATACATTTCTCATTTTTTCTTTAGAAGAAATGGTTAATTTGTCTAATAGTCTTTGGTAACCTCTGTCGAAGTGATTTCTATAAAATCTGGTGCTTTTTTTCCTTTCTCTTTCTCCCTCCCCTAAATTCTCTAAACCTTGTATATTGACAGAACAATCCGTCTTCCAGAATGGCTCTCGTAAGTTCACCAAGGGTTTTTTCCCTTTTCCTTTCATCTTTCTCCAATAGGTTTTACCACCTTATTTCCTGAGGTAGCGTGACATGAATAGTCAGAAAACGAGGGAAGCCTTGACCAATTAGCCTTAAAATGATCAGTGTCATTCCTAACTCTGGGATAAATGTGCTCTGGCTCAAATGCCATCCAATTTTCTTTCCAGATATATGCCATAGCGAATAATGAATCATTCCCGTCCATCGGCTACATAGTCACAGAGACACCTTTACATTCTCATCCCCTAGTGGCCATGTTAAAGTCTTTTACCTGTCTGCCATCAGACCGCCTCTCCCTCCGGTATAGACGTATGAGGATTAAATGATTAAGGAATTAATTGCTGTAAAGTACTTTGAAGGATAGATGTAAAGTGTAATCATGTGTTCCTTCTGACCTTTGCTGATTATCATTTCATCCGAGAGGGCTCCTTGTGTCTGGATTACTAGCTAAAAGCGTGGGAATTTGGCTAATAATAATAGCCCCTATTAATATAGTGCTTCTGTGTGCCAGGAACTGTTCTCAGTGCTTCGTATGCAGATGAATTCATTTATAGATGAACCAGCATGCTTAGTGTCACTGATGTATGTTTTTCAGGTTGAAAATTGGTGTCCTCATTTACCTTGGAGAGCAAAAAATCCCTACGAAGAAGCTGATCATAACTCATTGGTAAGTGATTTTGGGAAACTCTACCTAGACGTGTGCATTTAGATCACATGCCAAAGCGATACATATGGAATCTTCTAGAAATGCCAACTGTAATCTGAAATAGTATTAAACTGAAGAATTTCTGCCACTTGTCCTGCGGAAGTCTAGGTGACCAAATCAGTCAACCAGTTAGCATATAGTTATGTATTGAGCAATTCTCTGAGAGTTCTAAATGATGAGCTCTACTGATAGGCGTAAGATCTCGTGCCAGGTGTGGAGGCCCTCGGTGATCTGCTGAGGGCAGTGCTTGTAAATAATGACCCTGCCTGTGACAATCGCTGGCATACAGGCCCATGGGAATTAATGAGGAAGAGGCAGTCTCAGCCCGCAGGGGCCAGGGTAGATGGTGCAGAGAAGATTGCTTGGAACTGAACTTAAAATAAGTGAGTTTATACAAGGTCAGAGTGACCTTGGGAAAGTGAGGGCTTGGCGGTTTGAGGGAGTAGAGCATGCATGGGTCAGCGGGCCTCGGCCGTGGAGCTTAGCAAGACTGGATGGAAGCCAAGGTTGGAAAGGTGGGAAGGAAGGGGACTGTGAAAGGCTCTGTGTGCCACATTAACAGCTTAAGTCCTTATTCTTCAGACCAGGCATCAGCAAACGTTTTCGGTAAGAGGCCAAACAGTAAATATTTTCATCTTCATAGGCCATATGGGCTCTATTAAAATGACTCATTCTTCACTGTAGCACAGAGAGCAGCCATAGGTGATATGTAAATGAAAAGGCACAGCTGTGGGCGAGTAGGACTTGGCCCGAGGGCTGTAGTTTGCTGACCCATGCTGTCAACTGTGGGCGTCTTGGGAAATCGAGTCAAGAAAGGGAGATCAGAGTTTAGAAGGAGCCGTAGTGACTGCTAAAGGATGATTCAGCTGGTTCGAAATGTTCCGTGAAATAAATACTGGTTATTATCATGTTTCTCTGCTATTCCAATCACTGGTTGTGTCCAGCTATATTATACAGGGTATTAGGAAAAATAGTCTTCCTGGCTTTTAAATTTTTCTGGTCTGAATTTTAAATTGTGTTCAGTTATGGTGGAAAAATAGTATTCCTGGCTTTTAAATTCCTTAGAAAAAATGATTTTTTCATTTGAACTGGGAGGAAACTAGAAGATGAGCATTTATTTCGCTATTAAACCCTGTGGACAGAAAGAGGCTCTTTGGCAGCCTACACGACGTCAGGTAGCCTGTTAAGAATTGACTTTAGTTCTCCCAGGAGCCTACTGCTCTGCAGTCTATCCAAGTGGCACAATAAATTTGGGTGCAGAGAATTTCAAGGTACATCAAGCATACTCATTGTACAAACTGCATTTTAACATAGCTTAGGGCTTTGCAAGGACTGTGCTGCTTTTCTCAGTTTCTAATTTTTTAATGATGTCCCTTACAGCAGAGTGGCAGTCAGCGGCCTTTGCTTCAATTTGCAATCCTCAGACCTTAAAGTCAAAGCTGTTGCAGCAGATTGAGACCCACTTTTGATGCCCTCGATTTAATTGACTATCCCTTTCAAGTTTTCAAATGTCACATCCTGAACACCATTATGCCTTCTGACTTTTTTATCTTCTAATCATTTTATTAAATTTCTGTTGCTAGGCGGAAATCCGTACGGATTTTAATATTCTCTACAGTATGATGAAAAAGCATGAAGAATTCCGGTGGATGAGGCTACGGATCCGGCGAATGGCTGACGCGTGGATCCAGGCAATCAAGTCCCTGGCAGAGAAGCAGAATCTTGAAAAGAGAAAGCGAAAGAAAGTGAGTTTCTTATTAATTCAGTTCAGTCAGATGCCAGTTTTCTTTTAAAATTTGATATTGCTTGGAAACAAGACTAAGAGACATGTCATGTCTCAAATGATACTCCCTCAGGGTGAATCTGCTCAGTCTCTCATACAGCTGTTTCTGGGTTTTCCTTCCCCAGTTACAATACTCTGACTTGGCAAGGACTGGCCTGAGTTTCTTGGGTGAAGCCAGGCAGAATATCTGCCTGTGAGATTTTCCTTGGAACCAGCTGTCTCTCTCAGGGTGTCAGGAAACCTCTCCCCGCTTTTTGTTTCCTCCTGAATCCAGCCTTTGAGAGCTTCCTCATCATGACAATTTTATATTTTTGTTGTTTGTCAACCCTGAGGTTTGGGCAACCACAGAGTTTCATTGCTACTCTATTAGTTGGTGTTTCTGCTTATATTCTAGGAGAGACATTTTATTAAATTTGAGGCAGTTTGTTTCAAGTTTATGAGGAGATGCTTAGAAAACCTCTAGAATTAGCCCTAGGCTTAGAAGATCTTTTACCCTATTAACTATAGATTAGATGACGCAGCTTTAGATGAACTGTTCTGATTTCAGAATTGAGCAAAGAGAACAATTTTTTCCTATATCTAAAAAGAACTGAAAAATGAGTTTGGTATTTCTAATCAAACTAATTTGATATCTTCGAAAAACAAAATACAGATACACTTGCAAGACCCAAGTCACAGTGTGTGATAGGTCAGTTTTGCTCAGATCCCTTGAGTTTATGACACAGCAAGACCAAACATTCTGGCACCAATTGGTAGTATATGAAAGAACACGTGGTAAGATGTTGCAAATGGGATGTAAAAAAAAGAAAGACTGTTTCTGTATAATCCGATGGAGAAATCTTCAGAATATATTGAAAGGTATAAAAAAGTTAGATGCAATACAGTGTACATTATTTTTTATAAAGAGAGGTAATTTATATCTACATGTAGATATATATATACACATGTAATATATATGTATGTTGCTCATATTTTTACAAAAGGGAAGATAAATCATAGAAATAAAGGAGATGAATGGTAACGATGGTTGCACAGCAATGTGAAGGTACTTAATGCTACTGCACTGTACACACTAAAATGGTAAATTTGATGTTAGGTATATTTTACCACAATAAGAAAAAATAAATGATCAAATAAGAAGAGGAGGGATTAGCATGGAGGCAACAGGTATAGAAACTAGACTTCTGAATATATCTAACTTTGTAGATTTGATACTCGAACCATTTTACATGTTAAACAAAATTTAATTACAAAAATAGCCTTGAAAGTCAGAAGGAAAATAAAACAAACTGACTATGCATCCATCCAGTTTTGGTTATAAGCACACAGAAAGGGACTATTCTTAGTGTCTTTAGCACATAGTAAATTGAACTTTCTGATGGGATATGACAAAGGACAAAAAGAACTGCAAAAATATCTTAAAACAATTATTAATCATGTAGTATGTGGTGGTATTGATATTCTCATTCTGAATCTCCTGTGAATATTGGGATAAAGCAAATGAGTAATTATGTTAGTGTCTTTGAGAAGTGGGATTTGCATTGTGGAAGAGGAATTGACAGATTGGTAATGTTATGTAAAAATACTGTAAACCTGAGCTTGAATTGGAAATACCAGTATGAACTCATCATTTGTTTTATCTTGGAAGAAAAATAGATTTCCCAGCTCAGGCCACCAAAAAGGACTATGAACAGTGATAAACTAGAGTCCCTTAAGCCCCAGACTTCATTCTCTAAATGCTATTTCCACTAGTTGGTATAAGACATTCTTTAAAAAAAGGCTTTATTAAGGTCTGAGACAGCAGCTGCCCATGTTGAGCTTAGAACATCACATTCTTGTCAAGGGCAGAGAAGGTATCCAAGACCACTAGGATTGTGTCAGAGGAACTTGGGAGCCTAATGGAATAGCATCTTCTGGCCAGGGTGGGACAATTTGATAATCAGTAAGGGTAATAACTGTAACTTATTGAAACACATCAAATATGTTTACATCCATGATTTTATAATGATATACTTAAAAACAAACCCCATGGATCATCATTAGAGTCTGCTAAAGAACAAATTCGTTACTCTGAAAACTGGTAAGTAAAGAGAAAGAATCAACTGTTTACCAGGCTCCTTCTATGCAAACCTTAGGGTCACCTCAGGGTGACCCAATAGTTTGATGACAGGTAGTTTCTCTTTGTAGAAGTATTGCAGCTAATAAATGAAGAAGGAAGGATAGAATAGCACCATTTTGCAACCCCTAATGGACTGACAGTTGCAGGTAATAATTGTTAGTGGCTGCTAACATCCCCAGACAGACACCTGGACATTGGTCTCACCAGTGGAAGGTACACAGTACCACCTATGAAGTAGTATTGCTAAAAAGAAAAAAAGAATCAAATCTGAATTTGATGATGTCTGTAGAGCTAGTTACCATAATACAAGGGACGGAAGACTCTGTTAAATGGTACCTTGGGATTGCAATCAGTAAAATCAAGAGTGTAGGAGACTCTATTGGAAATAAAATCTAATTTTTTGATAAATGGATGAAATGAATTATCGTACACCTTCCCCCCAAAATAGGCCAATGGGCTCAAAGAGGCTAATAGACATATGAGGTGATTATAATGTGTGCCTGCTGACTCTTGAATCACTAATGCACTTAAAAAATAAGGGACAGTTGAGGACGTGTACATACTAACTGGATATCAGATGACATTAAGGAATTATTAGCTTTCTTAGGGATAATAATGATGTTAGGGTTATATTTTTAAAGGAAAAGTTTGTTTCTTTTATTGAAACATACTGAAATATTTACAGATGAAAGGATATGATATCTAGAGTTTGCTTCCAGATAATCTAGAGGGATTGGGAGAAAATGGAGGTAGATTAAATAAGATTTGTCATGAATGAATTATTGAAGCTATGTGACCAATACATTGGCATTGACTATATTGTCATGTTTGCATTTCTATGTGCTTGAAATTTCCATGGTAAAGGGTTAAAAAAAAAAAAATTCCAGCTGTGGATAAATGCCCTCTATTGTTAAAAGATTTTTTTTTTTTTATTGGACTGGCTTTTTTTAAATTCTGATTTTACAAATTTTTTAAATTCTGCTCTTTTAGAAGCAGAATTATCCATACTTCATGCTCATAGCCAGACTAAGGGCCATAATGATTTTATTTCTCTAAAAAAAAAAAAAAATAACAAAAGGTTCCTTCTTTCTTTTCTAGAAAAATGGCATTTCCACATTGGAATTTTGTTGGGACTTAAACGTTACCCTGGGATTGGTTGATCACTTGTTGGTGCCTTACTGTGGAGTCTACTTGATTCAGTGTGAACCAGCATATGCCTCTTCTTTGTTTTCCAGGTCCTCGTTCACCTGGGACTCCTGACCAAGGAATCTGGATTCAAGATTGCAGAGACAGCTTTCAGTGGTGGTCCTCTTGGTGAATTAGTTCAGTGGAGTGATTTAATTACATCTCTGTACTTACTGGGCCATGACATTAGGATTTCAGCTTCACTGGCTGAGCTCAAGGAGTAAGGAGATTACTTTTCAATTTTAAAATCAGAATACAAAAAAAGAAATTGTAAACTCTTAAAGCCCTCTATTAGTGTGTAATTTTTTGTGGAGGAAAATGAAAGCGATAATTCACTAAACAGGAGATAAGAAGATTATTTTCAGGAGCTAAATACATACACTGTGAAAAGGATAATATGTTTTCATTGTAGCTGCAGGCTCCAGAGGCTTCATAAATGAATGCCACAAAATTCAAACTAAGGAGCTTATTCTCTGCTATTACAGGTGCTTCCAACATCTGCAGCGCAAAACATTATTGACTTTCCTAATTCCCTGTCTCTTGCTGAAATTCATACCATTCCCCTCAACATCAAGGTCTCTAAATCTTAAAACAGAACAGGTTCCTGTTTATAATTTAATTTGGATAGAATGAATTTCCTGAAAGCCCTGATCCAATCCTTTTTCAATTAGCCAATTTTCAACCCTGAGTCTGTTAACTCTACCTGGGTTTTCTGTTTCTCTGAGATTTGCTTCTAGCTCCACCCCTCTCTCAATCCCTTTTAGATTGGCACAGCTGGCTGAGCAAGGATGTTTTGCTCCCCTTCACTCCTTTTGGATAACCACCCATGCAGACTTTGTATCCAACAGCCAAATTACCATGTTGAAATACGCCAAATGTTTCTAAAAGAAACAGCTTGAATGAACATTCTAGAGATGGGAGGGGTGTTAATATGTGTCCCACCCTGTTCCTACTTTATCATCCAAGACGTTAATACCCAGAGAGGTCCAAGTATTGGGTCTGAGGTCCCCACCTGGTTGGTGGCAGTGTGTTGAGATGAAAGCAATTATATCAGTAAGATAATATCAGCTGCCATTTGTTAACAATTTCCATATGCCAGGTGCTGTGATAAAGGTTTTAATTATGATAATGTCAACAATTATGACAACCATAATATTGATAATGACTATCAACAGCTAACCTTTGATTTCCTACTATACACCAGGTACTACATTCTTTATGTGTTTTACTTAGTCCTTAGCACCTGATAGTAGGTGCTGTTGCTGTCTGCATTTTAAAGATGAGGAAACTTAGTTGCAAACCAAAAATGTGCTGTTTAGGGTTCATGGATAATACATGGGAGAGCCCAGATCAAGGCCTGTGTCCATCTGACCTTAAAACCTGTGCTCTTCACCATGGTACTACATGTTCCTTTCTGAGCTAGGTGCACCTGACGTCTTCTGAACCCTTCTGCACCGCTCTGGTCCGTTTCACAGGCTGCCTCCTATTGCCTGCCTCCTACTTGGTTCAAAACACATTGGGTACACAACCTCTAAAGTGGCTGTGTGCATACAGTCAGCAGTCACTCAGTGCTCTCGGTGGGCTGTTTGGTGCAGGACATACTCAGATGACCAGCATGTGGTCAGGAAGCTGACAATGTTTTGATAATTACAACTAGTATTACATAATAATTATACTAATTACACTTCTGTTTGTGCTAATTGAGGTGTAGATGTTAGAATGTAAGCACAGGGCTTGCAGACAACTGAATATTACTCACCACTGGGAATTTAGCACCTAGATAGTGCCTAATACATACTGGGTGCCCATATGACTATTGAATGAGTGAGTGAAGGAATGAATGAGTGGGTGGGCGAACAAATGGAGAACCGTGGAAGTACCAGGGATGAGGCCCACCTGGGGAGGACAGGAAAGGAATATCAGGGATTTATAAGGCAGAGACTCAGTTGGTCAAAGGCAAGTCTGTTCAATAAGTCTTCACTTAATGTCACCGATAGCTTCTTGGACTTTAAGTGAAATGACATATAATGAAACCAATTTTTTTTTTTCGTCAACATCATAGTGAAGCTGGTTGAAGTAAATGACATTATTTAAGGACTGGCTGTACATTGTTTCACTTGAAGACCCTGTTTCTGAGAACCTGACGGTGTTACGTGAGGCCTTACTGTAGCAGTCTTCCTGCACACCAGGGCAGGGTGAGAGGTGCTTTATTTTAGAAGGTAGTTTTGGAAGCAACACAGAGCAGCAGTCTTCACATATGCCTGTACATTAAAACGACCTGAGCATCTTTTCATTTTATTTACGTTTTGGGGATCTTTTAAAATCCCAAAGCACAGACCATACCCCAAGATAATTAAATCACGACCTTTGTCAGGGGGTAGGGTGTATGCAGCCGTATGTATTTTATGATGACTCCAAGTAATATCAGGGTACAGACAAGTTTGGGAGCCACTGAACGTAGGTCGGACCAGGGGTCAGCAAACTATGGCTTCAGCCCTTGGCCTATTTTTGTAAATAAAGTTTCATGGGAACATAGCCATGCCCATCGTTTATGTATTACCTAAGGCTGCCTTCATTCTACAATGGCAGAGCGGAATAGTGACAGATGATGTATGGCCTGCAAAAATGACAGTATTTACTATCTGGCCTTTTACAGAAAAGGTTTTCCACCTCTTGAGAGGAAATCGGCTATATAGAACCTAGCTCTTTCGGCAACCCAGAGGAGAAGAGCAAGGGTGGCTGACTCGGTGGCATTACAGGACTGTAGAGCAGAGTCCTGTTGGTGATTCTTGTCCTTGGAAGTAGGATGTCCATAATTTGATGAAGGGTTATTGTGGGGTGCGAGTGGGATTGGGATGAGAGGATTGATGGCCAAGCCAATGGCAGTACGATCAGCAGTGTGTTCGTTCCTGCACGTGAAGTTGGCGTGCCAGTCAAGTCCATCGTCACTGTCTGAGTACAAGGGTGCTTTTGTGTGTCTGGATGGATTGGTGGATGGGAGAAAAGGTGATGAAAAAGTATAAACCAAAGTGCCAGTTCTGTAATACAGCCTAGTTAGAAGGAAAAATTTGACGTAAGAGAAAGAATTAGGGAATTGTATAAGACAGTGTAAAAAGTTAATGCTGTAGAGGCAAGAAAGTGAAGAAATCTAGAAAAAGAGGAGGTCAGTAAAGGGTAGTAAGAACAGGCTCGATGGCCAGACTGTAATCATTGAGTATCTGGTCTGCATTAGCCACGTTCTATTCAATAGCTCATTTAAATGCACAAAGAATCCCTGAGAGGTTGATATCATCATCTTCATGTTGATCCTTCTTTCCCAGAGGATGAGCAAAGAAAGATTCAGAGAAGTTAAATAATTTGTCCAAGGTTTCATAGCTTTTACATAGTGGGGGGGGATTCGGACCCCAGTCTTCCTTGATTTCTAAGGTTGTGTCTATATGCCACCATTTGCTTTTGCAAGAGTCAGAATTAGGGCCCTGGGTTGGCCTTAGTGGGTGGGAAGAATTGAACAAGTAGCAGATTTGGAAGGGCCATACTATCATCTCTAATAAGGGTTTTGGGGGTGATGATTGCTTATTAAAGTTGGCCAAGTTTATTACCTTGAAGTAAATGGTTTCTTCCCTTCCCTCTCCCTCCCGCCCTTTCTCTAGAATCATGAAGAAGGTTGTAGGAAACCGATCTGGCTGCCCAACTGTAGGAGACAGAATCGTTGAGCTCATTTATATTGATATCGTAGGACTCGCTCAGTTCAAGAAAACTCTTGGACCATCGTGGGTTCATTACCAGTAAGTGCTACGTGCTGTTCTTAAGTTTTTAGCACTTCATATTTGTTTTCCTAACAGTTGCATGGTTGCAAGCAGAAAAACCTTCTCAAATAGTATCTTTTGAACTATATGGAGTGCATTTCTCATTTTTAATTGAAATTTAGATTCTTCATAGTGACTTTCTACTTTCTAGGGCTATTCATTATTTTCACTGATTTCTTAGGAATGGAAAACAAGTGTCCAACCTCCTTTTTACCTTCCCTAATACTTAGCATTACTTTCTCAGCATGCCTACACCCGTCTCATCTGTTTAATCAAATAACATTTTGATTAAATATAGACAGTGTCATTTCTTGATGTCCGTAGGTTTGAGATGATGATTCGTTTCTCTAACGTTTTCCCTCATCAGTATTCTCGCCATTCTTGAAAGGGAAATCTGGGAATACCTTGTCTGAATGCTGCACTTTTTAAGATGAGCCTGTGATGAGTATGACTGTAGTGCCTGTGTATTCTGTGCATTCCTTGTTTAATCGAATAGCTCAGTGTTTCCCTGGGTGTGGATTTGGGACTGCGCTTTAGTATTTAAAACAATTTTACATGGTATCCAAATATGGCACTAAATAACATTGTATTATATAATGAAATTTATTAATTTTTCAATTTCTTTCAGCATTTGTAAGAAAAGGCCTAATTTGATGCTACTATATCCCCAACAGTTCTTTTAACACTTACGTGAATTTTTAGCACCATGGGAGTAGCTGTGAGTCTCAGCTTCAGTGAGCAAAAGCATCTATTTTGAATTTAATAATACTTTTTTAAGAAGGGTTATATGCTTTTGTTATCTTTTATTTATTGCAGTTGATACTGGCTTTTATTTATGGTCTTGAAAGGTTTTCTTTAAAAAATAAATTTTAAAAGGTGAATAAATTTAAAGATCATATTTTATCTAATAGTGTAAATGGTACATGAATATTAAAAAAGCAAAATTAAAAACTTGGTTTGGGCTAGGATAGCACTCTACCTTTTACATCAGGTTTTTCCAGTTTTTTGGGTTTTTTTTTTTTTCTTAACACAAACAGAGCCATTGTTTCCTGGCATTTTGTGAATGGCAGACATCTGATAAATGTGCAAAAGAAACTAGGCAGTACAGGCGTCCCTAGACACTCATATCCTCGCCATTAAGAAGGGCTATTTGGATGAAAAAGTATTCTCAGTGGTAGTGTTTAGATCAATTAAAAAGGACAATTTTGTTATTAAAATGGTTGCTGTTGATTGGTATTTGATTCTTGTTGGATGAAAAGGCACCATCTCAGAGGGGGTTTTATGGAAAAATGGAATGTTTATCAACCTTTCTTTGATAAATCATCTACATTAGTGATATTAGCTTGCAGAAAGTCTGTTAGTGCTTTAGTCCAGCAGTCTTTGTGCTGTAATAAAGCTAAGATGCCATTAAAAGGCCAATGAAATCCTCTAGGAAGTTTCCTGCCAATTTCTTTCCCCTTTAAAAATTAGAAATTGTCAGGATTCTGTATTTATCTTGGTTAATTTTATGTATTTCATTGAATGTAATGTTATCACCTGATCTTTCAGTTACGAGCAAACCCTTTAGGCCTATTGATCTTGGAAAAATATTTGTTAATTCTGTCCAACTTGCGTAGGGACCCAAGAAATTCAACTAAATGTTTCTTAGATGCCTACATGTAAGTAGTAGTCTGCTGGGTACTGCAAAATTCATATCTGTTTTGCTTCCTGTAAGGTCTTTGCTGAATGTTGAGGACATACAAGAAAGATGAAAATAGCCCAAGATATGCCATGTTTTATATCAAACACCAAATTAGAAAATGGTGCCTGGCAAGGAGTCTGTGAGCATGCCTTTCATAGGCTGAGAGCAAAGAAAGAATGTTCCAGGAGCCATTTGGCATTGCTGCTGCAGTCCCTGTTAGGAAGGCCAGCTGCCTTGAGCATCAAGGCCAATATCTTTTCAAGTCATTGGTCTGCTCCTGATGCTCCAGACACAGAAGACGTTAAAGAGATGGCATAAATGTTAGCGACACAAACACACAATTCCATAACACACAGATGTAGAGTGTGATTGGAGAAGGAAAACTATAATGTTAAACCTCCCTGTCATTGACAAAGACCAGTCTCCTGCCTCTAGTTTATATTAATAAATCCAACCTAGATAAGCTAGAAAATAAACAATTCCCAAGCCAAAGCTTCAAGTAAAAGGATGTAGAATTTCAGTTTTCTGGGAGACATCCAAAACATTCCAATCCTGTGTCAGAAAGAGCCCAGTGTCACCTAGCTTACGTCTAGGCGTGGTACAGAAGTGTCCTCCCTTTCAGCGGTTAGGCCTGTCCCAGGCAACTTTACTTATCAGGGTTTCTTTTAATTGTCCAAATTAAAAATAACAATAGTAAAACTCCAAGTTAAAAATACAGTCACCACCACTAGCAAGATTAACCAGAAATAGAAAAGAAAGGACTCAAACAACCTCAATCAGAAATGAAAAAGGAGACATTACAACTGATATCACAGAAATACAAAATATCATTCATGAATACTACAAAAACCTCTGTGCACACAAACTAGAAAACCTAGAGGAAATGATAAATTCCCGGAAATACACAACCTCCCAAGCCTGAATTAGGAAGAAATAGAAATCCTGAACAGGCCAACAATGAGGAGCGAGATTGAGGCAGTAATAAAAAAATCTCCCAACAAAAAAAGCCCCAGACCAAATGGATTCACAGCTAAATTCCACCAGACCTACAAAGAACTGGCACCTATCCTACAGAAATTATTCCATAACATTGAGAAGGAGGGACTACTCCCTAATTCATTCTATGAAGCCAGTATCACCTTGGTACCAAAGCCAGGAAAGGACACAACAAAAAAAGAAAACTACAGACCAATATCCCTTATGAACATAAATATAAAAATCTTCAACAAGATACTAGCAAACTGAATTCAACAGCACATCAAAAAGATAATTCACCACAATCAAGTGGGTTTCATACCAGGGATGCAAACGTGGTTCAACATATGCAAATCAATAAATGTGATTTACCACATAAACAGAAACAAAGACCATAAGATTATCTCAATAGAAGCAGGAAAAGCATGCTACAAAATCCAGCACTCTTTTGTGATAAAAACCTTCAACAAACCAGACCTAGAAGGAACATACCTCAAAATTATCAAGGTCATACATGACAAATCCATAGCCAACATCATACTGAGTAGGGAAAAGTTAAAAGCATTCCCCCTAAGAACCAGAACAAGACAAGGGTGCCCACTGTCACTACTGCTATTCAACTTGGTACTGGAAGTCCTAACCAGGCAACAGAAAGAAATAAAGTGTACCCAAGTCAGGAAAGAGGAGGTGAAACTATTCCTGTTTTCTGATGATATGCTCTTGTATCTAGAAGATCCTAAAGACTCCACCAACTCCACCAAAAAGACTCCTAGAATTGATAAATTCAGCAGTTTCAGGTTACAAAATCAATGTATACAAATCAGTAGCATTTCTATCTACTAAAAACAGTCAAGCTGAGAGTCAGATCAAGGACTCAACACCATTTACAATAACTACAAAGAAAATAAAATACCTAGGAATATACTTAACCAAGGAGGTGAAAGATCTCTACAAGGAGAACTACAAAACATTGATGAAAGAAATCATATATGACACAAACAGGTGGAAAAACATTCCATGCTCATGGATCAGTAGAATCAACATCATTAAAATGGCCATACTGCCCCAAGAGATTTACAGATTCAGTGCAATTCCCATTGAAATGCCAACATCTTATTTCATAGATCTAGAAAAAATCCTAAGCTTCATTTGGAACCAAAAGACAGTCCAAATAGCCAAAGCAATCTTAAGCAAAGAGAATAAATCTGGAGGCATCATGTTACCTGACTTCAAATTATACTACAAGGCTATAATAACCAAAACAGCATGGTACTGGTATAAAAATAGAGACATAGACCAATAGCACAGAATAGAGAACCCAGAAATAAAACCATGTAGCTATGACCAATTTATCTTCCACAAGTAGACAACAACATACACTGGGGAAAGGATGCCATATTCAATAAGTGGTGCTGGGAAAATTGGATAGCCACATGCAGAAGAATGAAACAGGACCTCTGTGTCTTACCATATATAAAAATTAATTCAAGATGAATTAAAGACTTCAATGTAAGACATGAAACCATAAAAATTCTAGAAAAAAATGTAGGAAAAACTTCCAGACACAGGCCTAGGTGAAGAATTTATGATTAAGACCTCCAAAGATAAATAGAGCAACAACAAAAATAAATGGGACTTAATTAAATTAAAAACCTTCTGTGAAGCAGAGAAAATAATGAACAGAGTAAACAGGCAAATTACAGAATGAGAGAAAATATTCGCAAACTACATATCTGACAAAGAACTAATATCCAGAGTCTACAAAGAACTCAAACAAATCAGCAAGAAAAAACAGCCCCGTCAAAAAGTGAGCAAAAGACATGAACAGAATGTTTTCAAAAGATAAACAAATAGCCAAAAAAAGGTATGAAAAAATGTTCAGCTTCTCTAATTATCAGGGAAATGAACATTAAAACTACAACGAGATACCTCCTTACCCCTGTTGGAATGGCCATTACCAAAAAGTCAAAAAACAACAGATGGTGGCATGGACGTAGAGAAAAAGGAATGCTAGTACAACCTCTATGGCAAACAGTATGGAGATTTTCCTCAAAGAGCTAAAAGCAGATACACCATTTTATCCAGCAATCCCACTACTGGGTATCTACCCAAAGGAAAAGAAATCATTTTATCAAAAAGACACCTTTACTCAAATGTTTATTGGAGCACAATTTATAATTGCAAAGATAATGGAATCAACCTAAGGGCCCATCAATTCACGAGTGTATTAAGAAAATGTGGATGTATATATACACACACACCATGAAATACTGCTCAGCCATAAAAAGGAATGAAATAATGTCTTTCATAGCAATTTGGATGGAACTGGAGACCATTATCCAAAGTGAAGTATCTCAGGAATGGAAAAACAAACATCACTTGTTCTCACTAATAAGTGGGAGCTGAACAATGGGTACACATGGGCACACAGAGGTAAAGGACGTTAGAAGCTAAGAAGGGGAGGAGGCAGGGGGATGGGTGAGGGATAAAACCTTACCTATTGGGTACGGTGAACAGACACCCTGAAAGCCCTGATTCGAGCATTATGCAATGTGTTCATGTAACAAACCTTTGTACTACCTTAATATTTTGAAATTTAAAAAACAATATGGTCACCATCCAAAACTAGGAAGGAATACACAAGTTAGCCCTTTGTATTGGTAGTTTCCGTGTGCACGGATTTAAGCAACTGCAGATCGAAAATACTTGCAGGAAAAAAACAATATAAATAAAAAAAGTACAATATAACTTTTGTATGAGTTACATGCAAATACTGCAGCATTTCATATAAGGCACTTGAGCATCCTTGGATTTTGGTATCCATGAGAGTCCTGGAACCAATCCACTGCAGATACCAAGGAATAATTATTAGACTGCTAGAGTTGATCGCAAATAAGTGGAAGGAGCTGAAGCCTTCAAGACACAGCTCCTTACGTTCAGAGTGGCCTGTCTTCCCCTGCTGTGCCTGCACGGAGCTGTAATCTTTGACTCACAAAGTGGTGCTGCTGAATCCCAGCTCTGGTTCTTTGGAAGCTGAGCAGTCCATAGCCCCACGAGTCAACACTAGTCCTATCCTCTCCTCTCACAGTGACCTGCTGCAGAGCTGTCACCGCAGTCCCTGCTGTGTCCTGAACACTGCCATCTTCCTCAGAAGAAAATGTACTGCTCCAACCAGTTCCTTTTGCATCTTATTTTAAAGGGGAAAAATATAAGTTAAGAAATGAGGGCCGGGCACGGTGGCTCACGCCTGTAATCCTAGCTCTCTGGGAGGCTGAGGCGGGCGGATTGTTTGAGCTCAGGAGTTCGAAACCAGCCTGAGCAAGAGCGAGACCCCGTCTCTACTAAAAAATACAAAGAAATTAATTGGACAACTAAAAATACATAGAAAAAATTAGCCGGGCATGGTGGTGCGTGCCTGTAGTCCCAGCTACTCGGGAGGCTGAGGCAGGAGGATCGCTTGAGCCCAGGAGTTTGAGGTTGCCGTGAGCTAGGCTGACGCCACGGCACTCTAGCCCAGGCAACACAATGAGACTCTGTTAAAAAAAAAAAAAAAAAAAATGAGAATGTTTTATTAAGAAGAGGAAAAGAATGCTCTGAAGTTTTCAGAGAGCAAGAAAAGTAAGGATTGACTTAGCTTTCTTCTTCCTGGGCCGTAGGCTCCTATTTCTGTCCACCTATTGGCTGCCAAGCTGATGACCCATCATTGACGATATTGTGAACATCGCCACTATAATGAGAGAGTGTTCTGTGAGAGCCACGCAAGAATCCCAGATGAGAAAATTCTTCCTGTGGTCAGCTTGTATTTCACTCGTGGTTGTGGCCTTCCTGCTTTCGTCTTCTTCCTTATCGAGACAAATGGTGATCTCCAATGAGAAAACCACACAAAAATAATGGTTTATGAGTGTGCTTCCTAGAAAATCCAATCTGGTGTTTGGAATTTTCTTTTTTTTCCCTGACTCACATATTAAAGTAGAAATAAAAGTTGAAAGAATGACTTCCTGATAGTGGGGGAAAAGAAGAAACAGTCACATCCTTAAAAGTCATTGCCACCGTCTGATTCTAAAACATGGGCTTTAATCTTTATTTATGCTCATCAGCCTACTGAAAGTTATTCAGAAGTATTCTTGATACATAACAGAAAATAGAGCTGCTTTTATTGGCCATCTGCAAGTTAAATTTGTATCTATGTTTTGAGAATCAGTGATGAAATAAATGCAAGCAAAATCGGTAAATTTTGTTTCAGTATTGATTCCTTTCTTCCAATTGGTCATTCTTGTGCACTCTAAAGCAGTGATCGGCAAGCATTTCCTGCAAAGGGCCGGCCAGGCCACGCGGTCGGTCTCTTTTGCAGCCACCTGCCACTGCTGTCCCAGTGTGAAAGCAGCCATAGACAACAGGTAAACAACAGGAGTGGCTACATTCAAATAAAACTTTATTTTTAAATGCGGAAGTTTGAATTTCATATAATTTTCACGCCACAAAATATTCTATTTTACCATCTAAGAATGTAAAGACAATTCTTAGCTCACGGGCCAAACAAAAATACAGGTGGTAGAGCAGATTTTGCTCTGTTGGAAGGCTTTGGTGGAATAGCCAAACGAAACACCTTCACATGTATTTCTTTGGGGTCTAGGGAAAAAGCGGTGACGTTCTATTACTGTCAGATACATAAAAGGCACCATTGCCTGTTGAACAAGATTCTAAGCTTTACCTAAAATCAAATACTCCAGTTACGTGATGAGAATGTTGAACGATAGGGGAAAGAGAGAACACATGCCATATGCTTTAAGTAGAATAAGACCTCTGAAGATGGTAGCTCTTTGTTTCTTGAACCATTAATTAGTCACCTACTGTATGCGCGACCCTGGCGAGGTCCTGGGTGTGTAGCAATGAACATGGCAGTCCCTAGTTCCAGCTTTCATGGAACTTTTAATTTTGCTCGTATTTTAGTGATCCTCTGTGATCCGTCAGCCAGTCTGAAGTAAGTCATATCTGCTGGGTGAAGGCACAGGCTCTGAAGTTGCATCTGTGGATGTTTAGTACACGAGCTGTTCTAGCACCTCTCAGTGCTCGCCCAGTGCCACTACTTTTAAAAGTATTTGTCCATTTTTAGCAGTGCCTGAAGAAAGGGGCGGAGCTTTTACCTTTTGAACTTTGGGGTCAAGGATGTCATTTTACACACATTGCTTTATTCTTTCAGGTGCATGCTCCGAGTCCTCGATTCATTCGGCACAGAACCAGAGTTTAATCATGCTAATTATGCCCAGTCTAAAGGCCACAAGACCCCATGGGGAAAATGGAATCTGAACCCTCAGCAGTTTTATACCATGTTCCGTGAGTATTCATGTTTCGCTTCTGCTTTCCAGAATGCCACCAATGATAGATGGGAAAATTAATTAGTCGTCTTTTTGGGGGTTATGATTCTCAAGACCCTTAGATGTAGAAGTATGGGCTGTTGAACCTTTGCCTTGGGAATAACTGAATTTTCTTTAATTGGAATTGCAAGGCCATGCAAGCATTTTGTGGAAAACCTTGGAAATGTTCTGGACAAATGTTCGATATGAAATGTCGTTAGAAACCATTTGAGAAAGGACTTTGCGTCAACTTTAGATTGGCAGGCACTAAACACAATTCATGCCACACAGAAGCTGTTCAGGATCCATTTCGTCATTAACGAGCAATGGGGTCTTCCATGCAGATCCGTTTTCCAAATGGTTAAACCTTAATTATTTAAGCATCAAACTTTTTAAAGAAAAATTGGGCCTTTTTAAAACAGAACTGTTTTAACCTCAGTTTTGTACTTTATGGGCTTCCTAAATCCTGGGCCCAGAATGCAGTTTTACCTTCTCTTGCTGACGTGGTGTCATGGTTGTTAGCAGCAGTGATGATTTCACGAGGTGTTGTAGTGAGAGCAGCATGCCACCCGCTGAGGAGCTAACTGGCCCCCACTGCCAGGCTCTTAACCTTTCTCTGTTTCTATAGTGTTATGTTCCCATATTTGCCATTTCTTTGTATGGCTATTGGTTTTCCTGCCTCTAGCCTCATTTCTAATTATCTGAGAACCATGAAGCCTGATACTAAGTTTGACAGTGTTCTTGCCAAAAGTAAATTTATTATTCAAGCCACTAGACCTTAGTGACAAGATGAAGTCCCATTCTGTAAATGAAAGGTCACATGAGTTAAACAGGTATTTGGATGCTCAGAGCGGAGAATTCCCATTTTCCAAAATTATCAAAATAATGTTAATCCAGAGATTACCTTTGTCGACTCTGTTTTGTTGAGCGAAGACTTGAGGGACTCCTGCCCTGCCTTTCCCCACGTAGCTGCCTCTCCCCTTGGTAGGCAGCCACACGAAGGTAACCCTTTGCTCAGGTTCACTAAATGTAGTAACAGCAAACACGGTGGACTAATCCTTGGCGTTAGGGATGAGAAGGGAGAATTAAGAATGGGTACAGCCGATGAGGGGAATAATTTAAAAAATCAACTCACATTTAAATGTTCTTTTTGGCTGAGGTTTGTGAGTGCACCATGTGCATCATAAACGTTATTATTCCTGGAGCTGTATCACCCTGCTATTGCAAGCTGTCCCTGGTGCACAGTTCAGGGGGCAGACTAATTTTTGACACATTAGGTGACAGATGGCAGTTGGCAGGGTGAGACATGATCACAGTTAGCCTGTGGTTTGACTTTGCCGTGTGACTTTGAGGCACTGGGGTGAGGTGGCACAAAATAACCTAAGAAGTGATGTGTGTATTATGTCAAGTGGAATAAAGTGTCAACAGTGTGCAAAATGGCCGGAACTTCCTGAATGATATGGTATGTGTGTGCTCCACCAAGAGATGGTGTTTTCCTGTCTCCAGGGAGTAGAGAGGAGGGGCTTTTCCTGAAGGTATAGAGGTCTCTCTTGGAATGTTGGGATTCAGAGTCCTGCAAGCCTGTTTTGTTCTTCATGGGTGGAGGATTTTCAGCAGTGTGGGTTGATTAAATTGAAAGAAATTCACTGTTTAAAATGTAACTGAAGACAAAAACGTGAATTAATTTCTATTAACCTGGGAGGGGGATAATTTTTCTGACTCAGAAATTAGGGGGGAAAAATGATACATTTGACTGCCTTTAAAAAGAAAAAAATAAAATAAAAAGAACCTATATTGCAAAACCACCACCAGGAATACCATAAGCAAATTATATCACAGATCGAGGGCTAATATTACTAATATGTATGTAAAGAACTTCTAAAAATTGAAGAAAAAGTTCTATAATCCAATAGAAAACTCAAAAAAAGCTATTAACAGTTCAAAGGAAAAAAGAAATGTATTGCTCCAAACATGTGAAAAGATGTTAACCTTACTCACAGTAAGAGAAGTGTTTTAAACTGCACCAAGACACCATGTCCCGTGTTCAGATTGGCAAAAATCCAAAAGTTTGACAGATAGCTGTTCTGAGAGAAACCAGTCCTTTTCTACCCCAGTGGTTAGAATGCAACATGGTACTACCCCTGTGGGAGGATATTTGTCAAGATCTAGTAAAACTCCGTGTGCATTTTTCTTTCAACTAGGCAGACTCGTATCTAGGAATCTATCCCAAACATGTGGACAAAAATAAGAAATGGCATGTTCACAAGGACATTTATTGTGGCACTATTTGTAATAGGAAAAGATTAGAAACAAGCCAAGTGTTCATCATAGGGGACTGCATGAATAGTGTGGTCCATTGATAGAGTGAAGTAGTATGTAACTGTTAAAAGGAATGAGAAAGGTCTCTACTCAAGGAGGGACGCATCTTGAATATATTAAGTGATTAAAAACCAAGGTGCAGGGCAGTTTAGAGCTACTTCCTTTTATACAAGTAAGTATAGGGAAAGAATGTGTGTATGTATTAGTGTATGTGAATGAGTTTGTATTTTCAAAGGAAACAATGGAAAGATAAATTAATAAGTGATTACCATTGGAGGAGAGGTATGCAAGGATGGGGGTAGAAGGTCAATGTCTTTTTAATGGACCTTGTTTTGATTTTAGACCTATGTAAATGTTTTGCATAATTTAAAAAGAATTAAATACCCAAAAGAATTCAAACTAGGGTCTTGAGATATGTGCACACGCACGTTCATTGCAGTATTATTCACAATAGCCAAGAGGTGGAAGCGACCCAGATGTCCATGGCCACACAAATGGATAAAGGAAATGTGGTCTATCCACACAATGGCTATTATTCAGCCTTAAAAAAGAAGGAAATCCTGTCACATGCCACAAGGCGGATGAACCTCTAGGACATTATGCTAAGCGAAATAAGCCAGTCGCAAAAGAACAAATACTGTATGATTCCACTCATGAAGAATTTAAAGTAGTCAAAATCATGGAAACAGTGGAAAAGTGGTCGCCAAGGGCTGAGAGGAAGGGGAGGGGGAATTAGTGTTTAACGTGTATCCCGAGTTTCATTGTTGCAAGTCGAAAAATTCTGGAGATCTGTGGCACAACAATTTGAATATACTTAATAACACTAAACTGTACACTTAAAAACGTTTAAGATGGTGAATTTAATGTTACGTGTTTTTTACCACAATAAAAAAATTTAAAAAGCGTTCACTAAAAATTGAAAGATTAAAGATTAAAAAGATTAAAAAAATGAGAAAAACTTACAAGGTTGGTGTTAACTTCTCACACAGAGAAAATACTTACTTTGACTTTTAAAGAGTCTTTTGATTGTACATTGGTAGTGGGAAATATCTATATTGTTATTTGAAACTGGCACAGGTATGGTGTAGGAGCCAAGATGTTCAGTATACAAGAAGGGGATGATGGGGAGTATTTAAAGATTCCAGAATGATATGCCAGACAAGAAAAGCCCGCAGAATCTAGCCGGGTCACCTTTGCAAGTTGCTAGGACACCAACTCATTACTCTGAAAAATAAAGGGAAAGAATTCAGCTTTGATCTTGCTTTTCTAGCACAAATTATTTTTTTAAGGTAATCAGAATCGTTGATGAGAGAAACTTGTTAATCATGGGGAAATCACATCTAATAAATTCAAAAGGAATGAAGAATTAGAAAATCTGCATTTTAAAACTCTTAATGAGACAGTGGAGCAAGGCAGGCATCACCAGTGGTTGCTAAATCCATCAAGTAACAGGTGGAGGGAAAACTTTCTCAGTGAAGAGGCTGTCTTGAATGGAGGAAATATGGCAATGAATAGGGAATTGAAGCAGTTGAGACCTTTATCATGTTGATGTGTGTCTGGGCTGGAGAATTTGCAGCAGAAAACAGCATCTCCCGCACCCACACCCTGCTTTCTAGGGCCTGTCCACAGTGAACTTGGGTGCATCCCTGAGAGAGGGTCCCTTCCTTCCCATATGACGAAGGGGTGGGGTCCAGTCCAGCCAAGTCTTTCCACATGGAATCCCCCATTCCCTTACCCTCTGGGTAAGTGTAGCTGTTATAGTGTTCTGAAGGGAAAAGCCATCCCTTTGACTATGAGAAGAAAATATCAGAAGTTATATTTATTCCTTGATAATTTTTAAAAATGAAACAAATTTGCTATTGCTTAATATATGGGCTAATGGTCGTTATATAATTGATGTATAAGTGTGTACATATATTAAAGGTATACACAGACTCCTGTGTTCTTAGAATGTTTTCTACTGATGGGGTGCACAATGGAAAGTTTGGAGACCGCAGAAATAGAGGGCTATCTTTGTAGAATGCGGCATTCAGGTGGAGCTGTCTCGTCGTGAGATGTGGCAGTGACGTAGCACGTGTACAGCGCAGAGCGAGCATGGCATGGGGGAGGCGTGTTGGAAAGAGCCCAGCAGGAAGATAAGGAGAAACACACACCATTGGTTGCACTGGTGCTGTGTCTTGAGGAGCAAGTAACCCATTGCCTGGCTAAGTTGGTGGGGTTTGTACAAATTGGAAAGCCTTGGTTTTCTGTATTGTTTTTCCCCCAATCTCAGAAGTTCCACTGGCACCATCCTCTCCATGTGTTCTGTTTGCAGTTGGGCATTTTAGGGTGTGTCGACATAGGCTATTCCTGATACCTTCCTAAGCAGCTTCTGGAGGGACCAATGGGTGGTCAGACAACACTAAGGCCATTTGACTAGATATATTAAGTGATGGTTTTTTGTAGGAAGCTGATAAATCTGGTTGTTCCTCCTCCTAGGCCCTGGTTCCTCTTTTGCCCCTGGTTCATGGACTGGCATGGCCTCCAAACTAGGCACTAAGGCCTTCCCGTGGCTGCCAGAACCAGTTCTTGAAAGCTCAGCTTGGATCCAACTATTCCTAAGGCTGGAGGGCTTTTCCTTTGTCCACAGGGTCATGTCCAGATTCCACAGCTACGAATTCA